TTTAAGACTTGACTGTGAGACAGGCAAAAGGGCAGAGGCAAGAAGATGGTGGAGATAGAACAGAGATCTTGTTTTCAGGCAGTCGCAAATAATTTGCTTTCTTTATCACTTGAATATATATATATAATGGTATATTTGGCATGTCTAGGTATATTGGACAGAGTAATTAAGAGAAAGCCTTTTATTCTTTTGGTTAAGAAGTTGTTAGTGGCATTTTGTACTAAAATAAGCTATTTGGTAATAAGCATTATTTTGAGACTTGTGGCTGACTTTCAAGTTTACAATTATTAATTGCCTGAAGACAAACTGTACTGACTCTTGCTTTGTCATGAGGAAAAAAAATGGTTTCTTTACAAGCAAAAGGAGTATATGCTTTTAAGTGGGGACTTTGGTTTTGAAGAAAACAGCACAGCTTACTAGAAGCTTTAAAATGTAATGTTTTCATGCACTGATGTTACTACAGTTGATTATTAATAAACTTGGGTTATTCTGGAATAAAATTACTAGGACATTATCTCCTTGGATTTGAAGTTCACTTGAAAATATTCATTCAAATCCTGAACATTCTTGACTATGCTGCTTCATATAATTTTTGATGAAAAAATTGAGCATACAGGTAGCTACAAAGAAGCTGCTGAAGCATTACTGAACCAATGCAGTACAGTGAGAGCAACACTTACTCAGTTGCTTTTACAGAAAAGGAATTGGAGGAGCCATGATTAATTTCTTGGCTACATTAATATTTTTCATTCTGGCTCTATGAACTGCAGCAGCAAGAACTTTCAATAAACGGATGTTCTTGAGTTAAAAAAAAATATGATGTGCTTTGAAAGCAAACTTGTGTTACTTTATTGTAACTTAGTGTTCAGAGTCATAGTTTGCAATTCTGTTTAGGGAAGAGAGGGAATAGAATGTTAAGGAAGCATATTTTCTTTCCAATTTGTGATCTGTGTTTAAGGATATGAATCCACTCTGTGTGCTGTGTGGTATTTTTTGTATTCCTACTAATGCAGTTCTAGTATCACACAAGTAAGGTCTGTTTTAAGTCATGAAAAAAGTGACAGTGGGCTCAGCATTGAAAGCTATTTTGTAGTGACTGGCCTAGGAGAAGAAACTGCAGGCTGGAGTTGCTTTTTCCATCTGGAAATGTTAAGCTTCACTTAGTATTTCAACTACAGATCAAAAATAGAGAAAATGGTACTACCTGGAAATTGCAAATAGGACACAACCTTACTAAACCATTTGCATTAATCAGTAGGCTAGTTAGGAGCTGAAATTCTTAGGCAACAGCGTTTTTTCCCGTTAGTCTTCACCATCTTTTAAACTAATTTGTTACTAATACTTCACAAAATTGGCATTGCTGATCCTCAGCCCCGTTGTTAAATATTTTCAACTACTATTCATGTCTTTAAAATGGACCTGGCTCAACTTTAAGCTATATTAGATGTTCTTTTTACAGTTGAAGCAAAATTGCAACCTTCAAATAATATTTTTAGTCAAGGAGATTTTAATTCTAGTTGTTGAAGTAACTAAACTAATTGTAACATTGCCCTGAAATATATAAATGTACTCTTTGTGGTCTTAATTTTTTTAGTACAACAATTTCTCAATACAAATTCCTGTTTGCAAGGTAAATATCCATTACTGTTTTCAAAAGCTTTTCCACCATTTATGTGCTTATACTTTGTCATAAATGGTATTATTTTTATTTTACTTCATTCAAAAGCATGTTAAGTAATTGTGCAAATAACAGGATATAGCTTCTGCCCAGAGGTGCTTACACAGTAAAACTGATACCACAGTACGGGCAGAAAAGCAGGGCGGAACTTGGCACATTCCATAGTTCACTTAAAGCCTAATACACGGTACAGAGTTATAAAATCTTATGTATGTTGAAAGTGTTTTTCTTAAATTTCTCTTCAATGTGTGCCTTTAGAAATAGCTCTTAATACAAGAAAGAGGAAAGGGACACGTGGATAAATTCAGAATTTGATCAGAAAATCTGATAAGGGAACCATAAGCTTGAATGCAGATTTCAATAAAATAACTGATTTGCCTGAGTCAGTTTTCAAAGTAACAAGAAGTTAGAAACTCAGATTCAAACCTTATTTCCTAGTCCTAAAATTTTAATGAGGATTAAAAATAATTCACTGGGCAGGAGTGAGTAGCATTCTGAAAGGATGACATGAATCACTTTAACTATTTGAACAATCACATTCACTCTTGGATAGAGAGGGAGAATGTCTTAGGCCTGGATTGCAGATGAAATATTTGATTATAAAAAAGTACAGATGAGAATGGATACAGCATTAAAAAAAAAAAAAAGAGCAGTTCATGATTTCCCATACAAAGTCATTAGAGGCTTTAGAGGATCTATTTAACCCTTGCCTTCTCTGAGATGTCAAAGAATGCCTGTAGAAGTGCTCTTCATAGCTTGATTAGGGTTCATGTTATGAGACTTGTAAGTGACTCTACCTATAAGGTATTTCACTAGAATGGTAATTCTTCATATTTTTAAAGTGGGTTTGAGTCTCCCTAAAATGAAAGGTGTCAAGATATAGAAGATAGCTACTTTTCATATGAACTTAATTCTAATTTTTTTTTTTTAATTCTCATCCTTTTCACCGAGACTAGAGTTAGCTGAAACATCTCTACAGTCACATAAATTAATAAACTTGCATTTAGAGTTTTGTATGTGAAGAAATCAAGATGTTTTTGATTACACTAAATTCTCTTAACAAGTGTTACTTGCAGGAAATGAATACAGAACATTGAAATACTTTTTTTCTGGCCTATGTTGTTTGAAAATTACTACCATTAGTCACTTTGCATGATGTGTCTAAGTAACTTCATTATTGCAAATACTATAACTGAGTAATTTGGAATCCCTGAGATTTGTAGACAAGGTCTAAACTTTTTTTTTTGGTTTCGTAGTTTTCATATAGGGGTGTTAAAATGACACTGTATTTGCTTCTGGTAATCTGTGACAGTGGCCAGCCTGATACAAGTACCAAAATCCTTAATTATCAGAGTTGCTTTGGTGCTTCTGAAAATTTTCCTGTAGATCTTTATATATAAACTCAGGCTTGTTTCCACATAGTTTCTAGTTTATAGTTGTGATAGGAATCTTAAACGTCATGATAGCTTTCTGCCCTTACCCAGGAGCTATTTCTGAATTCATTGAATTTGAAGAGACTAGACCCTAGCAATGTGCTAGCAGTGCTACCTGTAGATTGTGAAACTGAAGCGGTTTGTATTAGCGCTGTTACATGCAGAACTTTTCAGTTTTGTTTATTTCTGAAACTAAACAGTGTTGTTGGTGGGAATCATGGAATATTAAGTTGTTAGTGACTGTCTTAAAGCATTACCTAGTAAAAGTTGGTAGGGGTACGAAAAATAAAGCTAGTGTGTAAACAGATGAGTAATGCTTTAAGGAGTATGCATGATAGTGCATATAGAAGGGTTGGTTTTGATCAGAGACAGTCAGTTGTAGTCACAACCCATATCCTTTGTACTTTGAGAATTTCTTAGTAAGCTCTTTGTAGCTTAGCAATTGCCCTTGATCTCATGATAAAGGGGAAGAATTTTTGTCTGACTCAGATATTTAATGGCTGCAAACTTCTGTTAACTCTGCATTCTAGGCTTCTGGTGAAAGCGTTAAAAAATACTTTCAACCATCTAACAAAAAAAAAAATGTCCATTTTTAGTTGATTTAGGTAGTCTTTGGCCTTACAGTGGATTAATTTGTTGATAGGAATTAAACCTTTTATTGTTCAAACAAAGCAACATTTCTGAATTGGCTCATGGAAATATTAATGATCAAAACCACAGCTTTTATCTTCTGGGGTGATATTCTTTATGCAACAGGCATTGGACCATTAAAGCCTAGGGAACAAGATAACAACTTTTGACACTTTCTTGCTATTTAAGAAGCTTCATCCCCTTTTCTTTGAGAAAAGCGTACCTTTTTATTGCTGGGTCCACCCTCTCTCACTTCCAAAATAACTGTAGGTTTTCAGGGACTTTTCACATTTCTGCCATTTTGTAGCTTCTTAAAGTGCAGATGACTTGATGATGGTTCTGTAGCTGAGCAAGCGTTTACCATAACGATAGCAGCATGCAGCCTGAGAACTCCTGTATACACAAAATAAGACTAGTTACTAGCATTTGGAAGAAATCCTAGTGGTAATGGTTGAATCTGGGAATCCACATATCTTAAAATTTTAGACTTTCTTTTAGCTGGATAGCCCATGTCACTAAAAGACAGTTTAATTGGAATACGCTATCTCTGTGTGGGTAACTGGAAGATAGGGTTGTCTTGTAGACTGAAAATATCCAGCTACACTTGGAGGTGTTAAGCCATCTTTTGTACTTTTTCCAATGATTTATATGTCTGAAGGGCTCTAACCAAGCTTTCAGGCCCCATCTTAATAAAAGAAAAATGTATGCTAAACAGCTTGTCAGCCATTTAAAGCTATAAATACAGTAAATGGAGGAAACAGTATTAATTTGTTATCCTACCTATAGTTGAATGCAAGAGGCATCTTTCTCACTGAAGAGATACTATTAAATCTGTTCCAAGACTGACACAAATGTTGAAGCTCAACTTACCAATTTTCAAATCAGTTAGGATATGTATGCACAAAAGATAAATTGAGGTTTTAAGTACTTCAGCATAGGAGGTAAATTTCATGTAAATACAAACACTTTAAAAAAAGAAGTTATTTCCAGATGCAGCTGATTACTCCTGCAATAGCTGTTACATCAGTTTGTTGGTTTTTTAAGTGCTCTCTTAAGTTTGTCAACATCTAGCTTTATGGCCAGCCTCATTTAAAAACAAATCAGACAGAAAATGTGGTAGTTTCTTAGTTAATGGTACAGCTCTGATACCGAGTAATATGGGTAAAATGAGACAGAAAATTACTAATAATTACAAGTGCAACACTATCAGACAAAACACATTTGACTTAAACCTTTTCTCTTACTTTCTTTTTCAATAGAAACTATGTTCCAACTTCCTGTCAACAACCTTGGCAGTTTAAGAAAGGCCCGGAAAACTGTGAAAAAAATACTTAGTGACATTGGTTTGGAATACTGTAAAGAACATATAGAAGTAAGTATGATACCTCCCAAGTGTTGTAGTTAGAGTTAAAATGCTCCAAACTTGGTGGGACTGGGAGGTCTTTGGTGTGTGACAACTTTTTTTTTTTTTTAGACTGTTTCACAAAACGTTAAATTTGTACTGTGAATTTTGAAGGAATCCCCTGTATCCTGTTCCTACACCATAATCCTCTGTTCTCATCAGCTTCTGAGACTTATTCTGGGATTCTATTTCAGCCTTGTTGTTCAGGCATTGCTACCCCTGCATTGCTTTTTAAGTTCTACACAAAGTATGACTTAATAACTTGAGGTAAAATGTACCTGTAAACACTATAGAAAGTTTAGTGGAGGCAAGATACACTTCAGGCTGTATGTGACTGACTTGACATATATTGAAGGTAGGTTGTCTTTTGTTTATGTTGGATTCTTAAAAATAGCACTTGCTAACTGAACATTTAGGAATGAAGCAAAAACTAGGTGTGGTATAGGATGTTCTTGGGGGACAGAAGATGGTTCTGAGGTTTTCATGAAGTGTTTGTCAGTGCTAACAGTCGGTCATCAAGTTAAAGAATCGCTTCTGTACCTGTGTTAGTTCCTAGAAGGGAAAGGTATTTGTGCTACTTTTCTGGACAAACTTCATAACTATCATCTCAAAAGTGCAGCTTTCTGTCCTGAACACTAACTTGTGTACTGTCAGTTCACACGCTTTAACTCTTTAGAGTACTCAGCAAGTTATGACCTGTTTGCTTTGGCTTTTCTGTTAGTGTCTCTTTAAAGAGCATTTAAGTGAGATGCAAAAGAGAAAGAAATGCCAGTCCTTCCTGCTTGGAAAATTTGTGGAGCAAGTAAAATTTTTGAGGGTAAAATTCTGAACTGGGACAATGTTACTTTCAGTATTCATTTCAGTGGAAATACTGTTTTTGAGTCCTTATGTACTGCTGACTTGTATGCCGTGCCAAAGTACTTCATAAGATGATTTTTTTAATGGGAATCGGGCTGCTTGGACATCATACACATAGTCAAACTTCTAAAACTTTTATCTGAATTCCTGTGTGAAATTAAAGTAGTAAAACAACCCTAAAACCAATCACACACCCCCCACTCCCCCCCAAACAAACAAAACCCCAAATATTAGAGTTGTGGTAAAGCATCTGTATGATCTTAAATGTTTAGCACTAGCCTGGGAATACTTTCTCCACGACTGCTTTTGAAAATGGGATAGGTATGTAATTATAGTCTTGGTTTAATTAGGAGGATGAGTATTGGAAATAGTTCTTCAGGTGTTTTACAATCTTGAGACTATTCACAACTCTTCATCTCCAAAGAGGTGCATCTTTAATACCCACAGTTCCTTGAATTAATATCTACTGTTTGCCAGCAGCACTTGAGAGGACTGCATGGATGCTTACGAGAGTTGCTTAAGGGAGCAGTTGGTCTTTGGTTTTGATTCTCTGTACTCTCTTCCCATCTTCCCCTTCTCCAGGATTTTAAGCAGTTTGAACCTAATGACTTTTATTTGAAAAACACTACATGGGAAGATGTAGGATTGTGGGACCCATCGCTTACAAAAAATCAGGTTGGTAATAGTTTATGTTGACACATCTGATTCTGATGATGGTTTGTACTAAAGGGTGTTTCACAAATACGCCAAGAGCTTTTTGTGCGGTTTTACCTGTTGATCTTCCATTTGTCGTCGGTTTAAGGGACAACAAAAAAGTGTGCTTTTTTTTAATTATTATTTTAAAGTAATAATCCTGGTCTTTATCTTAGTAGTATGGATAGCCAAATACTGGAGAACTGATTGGTCAAGAAATCTTACTCACCCTTTGACAACTGCATATTAAGAGCCCATCTGTTTTCAAGCTTAGCGCAATTTCACCATCTTTCTGGTTAAAAGAAAAAAATTATCACAAACTGTATAAAGTTATTGCTATCTTTCCTTAATGTTTCATTATCTGTTTTCATCATTTCACAAAAAGTTTAAATGAACACATCTAACTGCTGTTCTCTCCTCTATTGTTGTAGCTCTTAGCTGTCTGCCACATGTGAAGATTCTCAGAATCTGACTATGTCCAAGATTTGGTTTAGGCATACATAGTTCTATACAGCACTGGAATTCTTACTTTTTAGATGTTTCTGAGCCAGGAATAAAGGAAATTTGAATTGAGCTAGAAGTGGAGGGAGGAAATAATACTTGATTCTGATTAAACACATTTAAGGCAAGTCGTGTCCACTGCAGTAGCATCTACTGATGGTACAATATAGAGTAATACCAGCACTGACAGAACAGTGAGAAGGTGAGAAATCTCTCTACAAAATAAGCCCTCTTTTAGCATCTGAAAGATCAGGTATTGCTCTTACAGGAAATGGGAACCTGTATTATGGTGGATTCCTAGTGTAGTGTTAATCTAAAAGTGTCCCTTCATTACTGCGGTCCATAAAATACACTGATGATGTCCTTTTTTCTAGTTAATTCCAGAATAAAAATTGTAATATAAAAGGAGACAGATTTTGTTTAGTTTGTTTTGTTGTATCTTGTCTCCAGCCTACCAGATGTCTGAGGCTTCAGACGGTGGACAGAAGTATATATTCCTACTTACTTATGCAGAGGGAGAGTACAACTCTCCAGCTACTTCAGATGATCTATGTGTAGCTTGATGCACAAGACTTGTTTTGACACTCATGATGAATGTTTGTAACTATTTGAATTTCATGTCTTATCTGAAATGCCAGATTGCTTGTGGCTACCTCTAAGGCGAATGTAACTTTAGTTTCTGTTACAACAGTTGACAAGAACTGCATTGGCAACATGTTAAATGTAACAAAGATAAAGAGTGCAGGGAAACTGCAAGTGTGGAATTTTCAAATACCCCCTTCCCCCTCCCGCCCTGATCCAAGATTGCTTTACAAATCAGGTTTGTGCTTTGATAGAAGAAAAAGGCTTGGTGATTTTAAGGGCTTGTGTGGCCTTAGTATATGACTTTGTGAGCTGAAATCCATTTGTTCACCAAAAATAAGTTTTGAGGAGTTTTTTTTATATAAAAGTTTGTAATGGATACCTGGTTGGCAGATTTTGATGGGAAGTAACCCGTGTCTTCTGGATACTGTCTCATTCTACTCAATCATGCTTGCCTTTTCCCCCTGGAAATGAGCTTATGGTGAATTCTTTCATGCAGCTCAGCTGCAGGAAACAAGGCTGGTTTGGTGGTTTCTTTTTTTGACTGGTGGAGAAAGATGCTTATGATTTATCCTTGCATGCTGAGTTTAAGGTTAAACTCTTGAGGGACCTCTAAATTGGCACTTGCCACATCATGTGTATGTTCAGATGATAAACTTTTTAGGGCCTGGTCTGCAGACCAAAAATTGGAGAGAAGAAATTAATCTAAGGGTTTGAGACTGTTGCAGTGGGTCTTGAGACTATTATTTAGAAACATTGTTTAGAGAGGATCATGGATGTTATTTTTCTAAAAACTGCTTTTCAATATTTAGTTTCTGCTTTGTTCTTTGTTTTAAGGACTATCGGACAAAGCCCTTTTGCTGCAGTGCATGTCCATTTTCCTCGAAGTTCTTTTCAGCGTACAAAAGCCACTTCCGGAATGTTCACAGCGAAGACTTTGAAAATAGGATTCTCCTTAATTGTCCTTACTGTACTTTCAATGCGGACAAAAAGACTTTGGAAACGCACATTAAAATATTCCATGCTCCAAATGCCAATACACCGAGTGGAGGCATCAGCACTTTTAAAGATAAAAACAAACATGATAGCCTTAAACCTAAGCAGGCTGACAGTGTAGAACAAGCTGTTTATTACTGTAAGAAGTGCACTTACCGAGATCCTCTGTATGAAATAGTTAGAAAGCACATTTACAGGGAACATTTTCAGCATGTTGCTGCTCCTTATGTAGCGAAGGGAGGTGAAAAGTCACTCAATGGTGCAGTTCCGTTAAGTTCCAGTACCCGAGAGGAGGGTAGTATTCACTGCAAACGATGCCTTTTTATGCCGAAATCATACGAAGCTTTAGTACAGCATGTTATCGAAGACCATGAACGTATAGGATATCAGGTAACAGCAATGATAGGTCACACTAATGTAGTCGTTCCGAGATCTAAACCTTTGATGCTAATAGCTCCAAAACCACAGGATAAAAAGCCTATGGGACTCCCTCAGAGGATGGGTCCCCTTTCCCCTGGAAGTGTTCGATCTCTTTCATCACAACAGATGATGAACAGACTCACTATACCAAAGCCTACATTAAATTCCGCAGGAGTGAATATGATGTCAAATGTTCACCTACAACAAAACAATTACGGAGTCAAATCAGTGCCACCAAGTTATGTTGGTCAGCCAGGGGGAAGGCTAAACTTAAGTGGTAATGCACCAGTTTCTATTCCACAGCAATCACAAACAATGAAACAGTTTTCAGCAAGTGGAAATGGAAGGCCTTACACTCTTGGAGGGGAACAGAGATCACAGGCCTCAGCAAGATACTCTCTTCAGTCTGCCAATTCATCTTCTCTTTCATCGGCTCAGTTGAAACAGACGTCATTATCTCAGTCACAGGCAGCTTCAAGAGTATTAGGTCAGTCTGGCTCGAAATCTCCTGTAGCTGCTACAGGTCCTTCCGCTGTCAATACATCATCCACACAGAAGTGGAAAATCTGTACAATCTGTAATGAGCTGTTTCCTGAAAATGTGTATAGTGTCCACTTTGAAAAGGAGCACAAGGCTGAAAAGGTGCCTGCAGTAGCTAACTATATAATGAAAATACACAATTTCACTAGCAAATGTCTATACTGTAATCGCTATTTACCCACCGATACATTGCTTAATCATATGTTAATACATGGTCTGTCTTGTCCGTATTGCCGTTCAACCTTCAATGATGTTGAAAAGATGGCCGCTCATATGCGAATGGTTCATGTTGATGAAGAAATGGGACCTAAAACAGATTCTACTCTAACCTTTGATTTGACATTGCAGCAGGGTAGTCACACGAATATACATCTTCTTGTCACCACCTACAACCTGAGAGATGCTCCTGCTGAATCTGTAGCTTACCATGCCCAGAATACTCCCCCAGTTCCTCCAAAACCACAGCCGAAAATCCAGGAGAAGTCTGATGTACCTGTAAAAAGTTCTCCACAAGCAGCAGTTCCCTACAAAAAAGATGTGGGGAAAACTCTCTGTCCTTTGTGCTTTTCAATCCTAAAAGGACCCATATCTGATGCACTTGCACATCATCTACGGGAGAGGCATCAAGTAATTCAGACAGTTCATCCAGTTGAGAAAAAGCTAACCTACAAATGCATTCATTGCCTTGGTGTATATACTAGTAACATGACTGCCTCAACTATAACGCTGCACCTTGTTCACTGCAGAGGTGTTGGGAAGACTCAGAACGGCCAGGACAAAGGTACTTCGTCATCTCGGCTAAGTCAGTCTCCAGCTGTAGCACCTGTAAAACGTACTTACGAACACATGGAATTCTCACTAATGAAGAAAAGGAAAATGGATGATGATGACTCCCCCTCTGCCTTTGAGGAGAAGCCTGAAGAACCTGTAGTTCTAGCGTTGGACCCCAAGGGTCATGAAGATGATTCCTATGAAGCCAGGAAAACGTTTCTTACAAAATATTTTAATAAGCAACCATATCCCACTAGGAGAGAGATTGAAAAGCTGGCTGCCAGTTTGTGGCTATGGAAATCTGATATTGCGTCTCATTTTAGTAACAAAAGGAAGAAATGCGTTAGAGATTGTGAAAAATACAAGCCTGGTGTGCTGCTTGGTTTCAATATGAAAGAGTTAAACAAAGTCAAACATGAAATGGATTTTGATGCTGAATGGCTATTTGAAAACCACGATGAAAAGAATTCCAGAGTCAATGTTAGTAAGACTGTTGATAAAAAAATAAACTTAGAAAAAGACAACGAAAGTTCCTCAGACAGCTATGAAAATATAGAAGAGGAATACAATGAAAGCGGTAGTCCGTTTGGTCAGCGCATTTCTGACATCGGTGAGAAAGCCTCTTCTGATAGCATAGTGGAGAACCCAGAGGACAGCATATCCAAGGAAATCATTGAAGAAAATACATTACAGTCTCCAGAGAAGTCTGATCAAAAACAAGAGGAAAGCTCTAAATATGAAGAGATTATTTCTGCTGAAGAACCAGCAAAGCTGGTAGGTGATGTTTCAGATAGCGAAGGTGATCAGGATGATCAAGATGACACTGTTGAATGGAAAGATGGAGCTTCACAGTCTGAAAGTGGGCCTGGTTCTCAGCAGGTTTCTGATTTTGAAGATAATACATCGGAAATAAAACCAGAAGTGTGGACAGATGAATCCTCCCAAAGTGAAGATGCTGGTAGCAGTAAACCGACTGTTGAGACAAAAGGGGATGGATCCGAAAGTGATGAAGAACAGTCAAAGTGGAAAAATCGTTCCTATGGAAAAGTAGAAGAGTTTTGGTCTAAGGACCAGTCACAATGGAAAAATGCATCAGAGATTGAGGAGAGCTTGTCAAATCAGCAGATGGAATGGCAGAATAGCACAATTGACAGTGAGGATGGAGATCAGTTTGACAGTGTGACTGATGGAGTAGCAGAACCAATGCATAGCAGCTTAACTGGTGTGGAGCTGAGTAGCCAGCAAGCATGAGCTGCTTGATTCAGAAGTGTCAGTAATATGATCCAGTCTACAACTGTGCAAACACTTTCATTTCAGTATGACTGCTAAGCTTAAATTCTGACTGGTACTGCCTTTCGAGTGCTAGGTCATGGCATGTGGTGGTTGCGGCCACTATTATTCCAGTGGTTATTTAAGGATGCTGTTGGCTAATCTTGCTTGAGAATACCTGCTGGGATGAGCACAGTAACTTAATGTGAAAACGGATGAGCTGGTGGCTCCAGAATGCACACAGAGAAAAGCAGAGGTTTATTTTATCTGCATTTTCAACATCTATTTCACTCTTGTACATGTTCAGTTGTATGTCTTTTTAAACATTACCCTTTTTCACATGGTAGTGTAGGGCCAACCATACAAGCTACCAGTTCAATGTGTATAGTAGACTATGGGGAAATTGATTTTTTTCATGTATCATTCTGAATAGTTGAAATGTATATTTGTACAGTCTTTTAGACCTATTCAAGTGAAGCTTATGAAATTGTTCTTGTGTACCCATCATAGATTTGTTTCTCTTTTTTAGTGTTGCCCTGCTGTGTAATAAATGCTGTATCTAGTTTACCTAGCAAAAGCTTGAAACTGCTATAGTATGAATTTTGACAAACTTAGTTTTTGCACATAACCTTGTACAATCTCGAAACAGAGGCCAGCAACATAAAAAAAATATATCTGGACTCTATTGTATTATAGAATTTTCTTGTTCTGAATATCCTTGACATTACAACTGATGACAAACGTATTTCAGAGCCATTTTCTGAAATCTTTTAAGCTAAAAAAGAAAAATCACATGCAAGAAACAAGTTTGCAGCTACTAATTTTGACACCTTTTAGATCTGTATAAAAGTGTATTGTGTTGAAGCAGCACACTGAAACAGAAGTGCTGTGTTTTGGATATTTAGTTTTATCTTTAGTTAACACCAACAAGGTGTTGTATTCATTTATACCATCTAATATATGACACACTGTTGTAGTATGTATAATTTTGTGATCTTTATTTCCCTTTGTATTCTTCATTTAAGCATCTAAATAAATTGCTGTATTGTGCTTAATGTAAATATTTGCTTTATTACATGCAAGTCCTACATTCCTGTTTGGTAAATCCCATGTTGCTATATTTTTTTATTATTTTTTTTTTCTTTCTTTTCTTTCCTTCCTTCTTCCAAGTGCTCCACAGCTCTGCTGGGGCATGTCTGTATAGTACTTTCTTACTGAATAGACTGATCTCTTCAAGGATATTGAAAATCTTACAAAACTAATTTTGGCTGAATTTGTCTTTACTATTTAGCATTCTAGAACACTAATTTATAAATAGGATTGTAGTGATTTGCTTGTTCTGCACCCTGGAGAAACAAGGTCTATGAATTACTTGTGTTTTTCATCCCTTTGTACTTACATGAATGAAGATCACTTTCACAGATTAAAAAGTTATCTAGAACTATGTCCCTCTCTGAAGCACTACATATTGAGGGTAAATGACAGCAAAGCTGTTTAAATGGTAAGAATTCAAAGATGAAGGAGTATGCCTTGCAAGCTACAGACTTATTTTGGCTTTGAAGAAAAAGTAATTTGAATACTAAAAAAAAAAAATGTTTGCTAAAATTTGTGATTGGTTTTGTCAAACCTGTTCTGCATTTTGGTAAGTGTGCAGACAGACAGCTGCATAACCAAAACCTCAGTGAGGCAATTTACTGAAGGGAATCTAACTGTAATGAGAACAAAACTGTTCTTAATTAGCATGATGAGTTTGATTTAGGCATATGTCTAATACAGTATCAGAAAGTAGGTACTCTGATATTTACAAGAACTAAATTGACCTGTGAAATTTTCATTAATGTAAAGGAGGAAATTGTTCTGTGTTCTTCAGCATTTTAAACAGCAAAACCATTTCACAGAGAACTTGAGAAAACATTTCGATACCTCTCTAGCAGTCTTGGGTAGGTATAAACTGTACTTTCCACTAGTATAACAAACAAGCCACTATATACACCAAAGATGAGAATATGTGTATGCTCTTGTGTTCTGCAACTAACTCATGTTGCTGACACTCTTTGGAATGAGCATTTCTGGGTTTTGTTGAACTAATTATGTGTGTGAAGTCATGACTGAAAACAGTTACCTCTAGGTGAAGATGGTTTAGGTTTGTCTTGTTCCTTCCCCCCCCTCACAGAAGGGATACGTACTTACATTCTGCTTTTTTAACTCAGCACAGTGGAAGTTGGACTGGCTCCCAATTATGCACTCAAGTGGAAGATGATACATTTTAAGAACAGTCAATAGAGGAAAAATACTTTTGACATTTACATCAGCAAAAGAGCTCTTTGTGTTTCTCTGCCTTCAAAGAAAGCTTGAGCCTCAACTCAATTTGTTAGCAGGCTTTCCAAACTATTTTCATAGAAAATCATAACTTTTCAGCAAATCAGCTGAGAGTTTGTTAACTACTGCTTAGAGATGTCAATGGGTTGGTAATCTTTTTCCTGCAAAAAACAGCCACTCAAGTCCTAGAAAAGGTTATTCCTTGCTAAGAAAAGTTGGTTATGCTCCTTTCTCCCTTTGTAGGCTGCTCTATTTCACAGGAGGCTACTGTCTGAAGACTTAAGGCATTTCAGAATTTGTTTGTGTCGTTTCACCAAGGCTTTAAAGTATTTTTAAAAATGCATTTTTTAAAAAACTTAAAACCCAACACTTTAATAAGTACAACCTCTGTTAAGCAATGAAATAAAAAACTGGGTAGTATCTTACAAATCTGCATCATATTTGACTCAATATCTGGCAAGGTTAATTTAGTATTAGTGAACTCCATAGTTAAAGTCAAATTTCCAAATTCTGAGCTGTTTGTAGTCAGTGAATAGCAAGACTATAAAATATGAACTGTTTAGAAGTGCTTCATTTGCCAGAAAATTCCGTGATAGGAAATAATATCATTTTATGTAGTGATTAAATTCAAAGGTCTTGCACAAAAATAGTCTGGTTTACCAGAAATATCAAGAAGGATTGGGGGTGGTTGTTTCAAGTGGCATAAACTTTCTGTTATTTCAAACAAGTAAGTTACTCTTCAAATCTGGATTTTAGCCTAGGCAATAATTCCTTTCTAGATTTGAGGCTAACCACACATTTTTAAGGAAGTCAAAAAGCAGAAGAGGTAAATGACCCAATAAGACTGGAGGAACTTTAAACCCAGCTTGTGTAATCTTAACATATTGCACTGTTACAATTTTATGAGATGGAAGTTGCCCAATTTTCACATACATTATTAAAGTTCTATAGCAGAACTCTAGAAACATGCCAGCTGTGCTTGCAGAGTAGGCAGCTCAAGCTGGCATTTAAATTCTGCTGTATTCAGGGGGAGACCTTGAAAACACACTAGTCTGTCCAGGCTTTGGCCAGCACAACTGAGCAGGACCATTAAACTTACTTAAGACTCTTTGCTAAAGAATTTGTTTTAGCCAGTTGACCCGAATTGAAGCAAAGCAAAGTATCTTTTCCATCTTAAATACTCTATCTGAAATCTAAAGGTTGGTAACAGTTGAGAATGAAGTAGGAGGTTATTAGCATAGACAATGTTTCTAGACAGGAGACAGCTTTGTACAACAAAAACTCTCAGAGCTGGTGTGGCCTGTAGTTTGACTTTTGAGGAATACCCGAGAGTGGCAAGGACAGTCTGAGACTGTAAGGGTAGTTGCATTTTGTAAGATGCTTTATTTCCATGGGTGTTCATAAGGGCTTGTAATAACTGTTATTCTGAAGCATTGTTCATTGCACCGAGCTGCAGTTGAGATGCAGTGGTTCAACAAGTACACTTCTCGTTCTTTTAGTACGCTCCTCTCCTTCCGACCCCTCCCCCTCAGTCCTTGAAGCATAGTTACAGCCAATAAGCTTTCCTTCAAACTAAATGGGGACAGACAGACAGCTTTTACTAAACTGCCAGTGCATCATACACTGAAGGCACACTTGATCTCAGCATTTTCCTTTGGGTACTGTGACTTAACCCTTTTAGTAACTGGGATTGCTACTAAATCAACCTTTTCCATGATGTTGCAGAAATATCTGCATTGAAGTTTTATTTCACAAGCTCTTAATCTTACCGAAAGTTCAAGTGACATTTAATGCTGCCATCCTCTGTTCAGCAGTAACATTTCTGTAGCAAGAACCTGCCAATTAATATTTGACCCTTTGACATGTATTTTCAGGACAGAAACCTGAATATTCACCCAGTATTTTTATAGGAAAATTCTATCATTCTTACCACCAAGAAATTAGTAGGTTTCAAATATCCACTAATACAGTTACAGTGAACAGTTTACAGTAGTACATATATATCATACACTGCTATGGTATTAAAACAAGTTTATTTCAATTTTTATCAGAACCAAAAGATTTCAGGAATATGTTGCGTGTACTGTCTGTTAATAAAGAAGCTGATATTTGGAGAAACAGGTTAGTATAACTAAGAGTATTTTGTTACTTTCATAACTAATTTGCTTCTCTGTAATACCAGCTTATTTGTAATAATCCATTACAATAACCTGCATTGCAGGGGCAGAGACATTGACTAGGTCTGTCTTCTATTGCTTTATATTTTAATTCAACTTTATCTTTCATCATCAGTCCCACTAATAAATATGAAAAGGTTGAGTTCATTTATTTCTGCATCAGAAAAGCATTGGTCTCCATGGTTACTCAAAGCCATGCAGCTTTACTTTCACCATAAGCTTTTTTTTTTTTCCCTTTACAGAATTTGCATTGGGTCCTCCATCTTGAGTTTTTTCACAGGTATTTTTAAAACAAGAGCATTTATTTCTCCATATTGTACTCTATGCAAAGCCAATCATCTGAAAAGTATATAACCTTCTCTTCCAGATGTTCCTTATTCAGAGAATTGAGTGGTTTTTGTTTCCCTAGACCTATTTTGAAGTAAAAAAAAAAATAAAAAAAGGTACAGGAGCACAGGTGAACTATGCTACTCCTGGTCCTGGCTAAATAGTATCTGCATTACAAAATGGCACATCCAAAGGTCCGTAACAGCTTTGCAGAAAGTTTATTTGTACCATTCAAGTTATATTACACAACAGCTTGTAAACCCCTATTCCTAGTTTGAAATAGAGTGCTGGAAGCTTCAGCCATGTGCAGTTTATCGAATTTAAGATTTTGACATTGACTTCACGTTCTCTTGTAAAATCTGAACATTTGTACATTTGTGAAGCTGGCAGTATTAGCACATTACTTGACAGTTTTAACATGCTATACTGCAGCACTCTTCAACCTTCTGATCATTTATAAAAATGTGAAGGTAAACAAAGTGAGTTTTTATACATTTTCTTCATTGATTTAGGAAGCTTATTAAGTAAGGACAAACTACTGTGATCAAATCTTAGCGTAAATGTGATCTACAATATGACCAGAAATTTTTAGCTTCCCTTAGAGATGCTAGCCAAAGATCTGAAATGTAACAGTTGCTTCTTCCTAATGTCATAAAGTATGAACCATAAGAATACACCCGGCCAGCCTTCCCTAAAAACCTTTTGGTAGTCAAAAATTAATCATTTTGATACTTGGTACCTACATAGTTCATAGGAAAAAAGTCTTCAGTTCGGTAGAGTTTTGGCAGGTCATAGGGGCGTGCTGCTGATAGAGGATGTCTCTGAAACAAGAACAGGACAGAAATTAATCTTATTGTTACAGAACAGGAAATAATACTTTAAGGAGTTGACCATGTAAAAGAGACTGGGGGGAGAATCAGCATCTCAGAAATTACTTTCCAATACAAGATAACTGGCTTTGTAAACAATGCTGAAAATGTGAAGTTGTTTACTTTCACACCTGATTCCACAGACTTTGCAATCATCTTAGCTGGATTAATATTGAACAGATAAAAATAGAGTAGGACTCAGGGGAAATTAGTTTTAAAGCACAGAAAAATGCAAATGAATTAGTAACACTGGAAAATACTGACTACAGAAGAAATATAGAAAGGGATTTGGTTTTGCTTCTGGGGCTTTTAAGAATTCAAATAATTGATTAATCCTGAATTGAGGAGATAAAATAATTTTTCTGTAAT